TGGAGACACTGCATGGTGCTGTTTACCAGGGGAGACTGGCTCAGTGGCCTCCCTGTAGAGAACTACATCGTCAGAGAGGGCAAGGAGCTCCAGGAGCTTCTGGAGAAGTGTGGGAACAGATATCATGTTCTCAGCAGCTTTGATTATGATGATCCTGTTCAAGTCAAAGAGCTGTTCCAAAAAATTATCAACATGGTAAAACAAAACATAGGATGCTTCATGATGGAAGGAAAAAGAAAGAACTTTCAGTTTCTACCTTGGCAAGAAAAACAACGCATGCTGATGGAAGAGGAGTGGAACAGACGGGAGCAGGAGCTGATGGAGAGAATGATGAAAGCTTTAGCAAAGGAACCAGAGAAACCAACAGTGCCCTCTGTGGAGGTGGCAAATAGCAAGGATGACTTTATGATTCCAGACAGTAAGTTTAACATGATGTAGAATTTACCATTTAGTTTCCAAAAACTCTTGACTACATCCATGTTTTTTTTAGGATAACAAGTTTTTCTTTCTGTTTCAGTGAGCGGAGATGTTGTGTCAGATTATGGGAGCATTTCAGAGATTAGGAACCAACAAGCTCATAACAACGTTGCTGAATGGCTGGCTAAGAGAGTGAGACAGTCTGAGATCACCTCTGGGTATAGCAGCATATGTTCTCTATTCCGTTATATGGAGAAACATGATGAAGATCTCCAATAGGTTTAAATCATCCAAAGATGAGTTCATTCTCACCAAGAATAAAGATCCTCTGAACATTTTCTCCAATCCTTCAATTAAACACAGGAACTCTTGTTCAACCAAAGAGCTACAGCAGAGAAAGAATTGAAGCTAAAGGAGAACACAGGATGGAATAAGAAAATATACCAGCTTGGTTCTACACATACATGTCAAAACTTTTTAACAAAACTTTGGTAAATTCCCACTGCAGGGAATGAGACACATATCAGTTTTTGTCATTTCAGTGTGAACAGCCCGATTCTGATCTTTTCAGTTGTGCCATTTGTCTTACCAATAATCATTATTCCAAATATTTAATAACTTCAATAAAGGGTGAAATGTTGCCCCTGCAATCTTTGCATTATTAGTTAAACGGACATATGTAAACAGACTTCATCATGGTAGGGCTTACTTTGCAATATTTCTCTTAACAAATGTCTACCATTGTAGCTTTAGAAAACAAAGTAAGACAAGGTGGTACAGGACCCTTAACCACACAAGGATGCCGGCACCAATGTCAGTGCAACGCAAAGGGAGGCATTTGAACTGCACATCCTTGCAACAAATTGCTCTGGGCGTTGTATTCTGTCCTTATCAGCTTGGTTAAAAGGTTAAATGTAAAGACTTTTTACCTGGTGTGTAGAATTTTCCCTCTGAGCATTCTAAAATTTTAGCTCCCTGCAGCGCATAGAAAAATACCAGTGGTGTCAAAAGTATACACATTTGTTACTTAAGTAGAAGTATAGATACTGCAGTTTAAAAACACTCTGGTAAAAGTTGAAGTATCAACCTCACCTCTTTACTCAAGTAAAAGTTAAAAAAGTATGTGTTCCTAAAACTACTTAAGGTATAAAAGTATGAAATAACCTTTTTAAAAAAAAGTCAGATGCCACTATATGAATTGAAAGCTCAATTTTTCGACTATTTCTAAAAATTCTTTGAGATAGGGCCAAGGATGAGGGAGGTCCTGTTGGTCTCCGTCTCCATCTCCCGATACACTCTCTGTGTCTGTGTCCAACCTTTCAGACATTTCAGCATGTTTTTCTGAATCCAACATTGTAGCATGGCATAGACAATTCATGTTTACAGCTTGAAGAGCCTGCTTGCTTCTGATTTCCTTTGGCGTCAGCACAAATTTTACAAACCTATGAGTGTTTGCTCCAAGTAGCCGCCTCAACAAGAGAGGCACGGAACATGGTCCACTCAGACTCAATGTCACCCACCTCCCTCAGAACATGTTCAAAGCTCTGCCAGAGATGGGAGTTAAAGCTCCTTCTCATGGGGGACTCTGCCAGACGTTCCCAGCAAACCCTCACAATATGTTTGGACCTACCAGGTCTGACCGGGATCCTCACCCACCAACGGAGCCAACTCACCACCAGGTAGTGGTCGGTGGAGAACTCCGCCCCTCTTTTCACCCGAGTGTCCAACACATGCAGCCGCAGGTCAGATGAAACAACAATAAAGTCGATCATTGAACTACGGCCTAGGGTGTCCTGTTGCCAAGAACACATATGTGCACCCTTTTGCTTGATCATGGTGTTCATTATGGACAATCCTTGATGAAGTTCAACAACAGAACACCGCTCGAGTTCAGGTCAGGTGGGCCATTCCTTCCAACCACGCCTCGTCAGGTCTCACTGTCATTGCCCACATGAGTCCCCCAGAAGAACAAGGGAATCCCCAGGAGGGGAACGCCCCAGTACCCCCTCTAAAGACTCCAAAAAGGGTGGGTAATGTAGTGAATTAGTGTGCACCAATGATTAAAATATATACATGTCTTTCACATTGAATGAAGGTCTTGCTTTAAAGGTCTAAAAAGTTTGGTATGCTGCAGAAAAGAGACTGAGGGTCTGGTATGCTGCTCTAAGTGCAACTTTAGATCAGAGCAAGACAGTGAGTCTGGCAAGTCACTCTAAAAGTGGCTTCAGTAATAAGGCTAAGTTAAGAAAGTGCAGATGTCCTGCAAGAAGACAGTTGAGCCCAAATAAGGCCTGGGCATGAGACATATGCTTGGAAGAGTAGAATCACAGGAGGTTTAAGTACCAAGATTATGCCAACCAAGTTTAATGTGAAATGTTATAATCATGAATCACTGAATGAAAACTTTGCTCTGAAATAATAATGACTGAAATATGATGTGTTTTTTTTTCATTTAATGGTAACATAGGTTATTATGACTTATAAGAAATGTAATCATGACCTGTAATAAAGTGTTTTTGATTAAATATATAAAAAATATGTTTTGAAAAGGACNTCAATTAAACGCTCAAAATGGCCAGAAAAAGAGAACTTTCATCTGAAACTCGACAGTCTATTCTTGTTCTTAGAAATTAAGGCTATTTCATGCGAGAAATTGCTAAGAAACTGAAGATTTCCTACAACGGAGTGTACTACTCCCTTCAGAGGACAGCACAAACAGGCTCTAACCAGAGTAGAAAAAGAAGTGGGAGGCCGCGTTGCACAACTGAGCAAGAAGATAAGTACATTAGAGTCTCTAGTTTGAGAAACGGTTGCCTCACAGGTCCCCAACTGCCATCTTCATTAAATAGTACTCGCAGTATTCTGTTTGTGCTGTCCTCTGAAGGGAGTAGTACACACCGTTGTAGGAAATCTTCAGTTTCTCAGCAATTTCTCGCACGGAATAGCCTTCATTTCGAAGAACAAGAATAGACTGTCGAGTTTCAGATGAAAGTTCTCTTTTTCTGGCTATTTTGAGCGTTTAATTGAGTTCGGCAAGAGCCAGAGTTCCGCTTTTTGAGGAGTCTCGTTCATGGGATCTTTTTTATGGGGAAAGGGAAGACCTTGTCACTTTCCTGCCTCATGCAGAAGTTACCCAGTCAGGCCCTGTTAGTGTTCTTTCCTCACAGTCAGATACTATTAGTACACTTTCAGTGTAGTCAAATCCTCTTAGCATTTTTTCTCAGTCAGGTCCTTTTGGTGTTTGGTGCTCCCTCTACTGAGTTATAGTCCCTTTGTGCCATTCCTCCAGAGAACCCTGAGCTTGCTCTGTGCCGTTCAGAGACCCCTGAGCCTCGTGTGGGATTATTCTGTGGAACAGAGCGCAGCGTGAGTTCAAGGCCCCTCACTGGGTGCTCCTCGTCTTGAAGGCCCCTCAGTGGGTGCCCTTCATGAACTCCCCTTGTCTCTCGGTGAGTCTACAACGGCTCCTCTTAGTGGGTCTCAAGCTGTGCTGCCTCTTTGTTGGTTCCTATGACACAGTTGGCGGTCCCAAAGGCTCCTGTCCTGCAGTCAGCTGTCCCCAAAGCCCCTGCTGCTGAGACTGCGGCCTCCAAGAATCCTGCTGCTCAGATGCCAGCCTCCCGGCCATCCTCCAAAGACTCTTCTTTTCTTCTCGGCCTCATGGCTGGGTCTACAGAGACTGTGTTTGACTCCAGCCTCACAGCCAGCAGCTAGAGATCGTGCTTTTTCTTTGCCCAACTTTGGCTGGTTGTTGTGTGCTTTGGACTCTGTTTTTGTTTTTCGTTTCTAGCCCTCCTTCCTGATCCTCAATCCACCCACCCTGTATGGGTTGCTTTGTGTCAGGGGTCGGCAACCTTCACCCTCATTTGATCTGGACCCACATGCGGCTCTTTAGCGTCCCCCTTGTGTCTCCCTGGAGCTTTTTCAAAAATGTACGAAAATCGACTAGAACTTCTATGGAGGGGTCAATTGACCTTTTTACCTAAAAGCCCTACAAGAGGGTCATTTGACCCTTTAGACCTCCTGCGGACACTCCTTTTGTTGTGGAAATGTAGCTGTTAGCAGCTCATAGCTGTCAC